AAGTCTACTCTCTGCATCCTCGTCTAGCTCTACTAGTTTCTACTCTCTCATCCTCGTCTAGCTCTACTAGTCTACTCTCCGATCCTCGTTACTAGCTCTACTAGTCTAAGTAGACTAGTAGAGCTAGACGAGGATGAGAGAGTAGACTAGTAGAGCTAGACGAGGATGAGAGAGTAGACTAGTAGAGCTAGAGGAGTGTGAGAGAGTAGACTAGTAGAGCTAGACGAGGATGAGAGAGTAGACTAGTAGAGCTAGAGGAGTGTGAGAGAGTAGACTAGTAGAGCTAAATGCATACAAGTAGAGGTTCACATATAATTAGAGGTTGACGTATACATAGGTAGAGGTTGACATACGTATAGTTATAAGTATAGGTGTAGGTTTAGGCATGAAAAATACGCGATGCACTGTATAGATATATTATATGTAGAGGAATTTACGTTGAGCATAGATACAGATCAAGAGTCCATAATAGAATATCCCTATTTTTTCTAATTTTCCTAATCTTCTTATTTTTTCTATCTATCCATCTCTTCTCATCCTCTATTCATCTATCCATCCTTCCTCATATTTCCATCTCTTCTATAATTTTCCTAATTTTCCTTTTATGGACTCTTGATACAGATGTACGTAGGTGCAGTATCTATGTACCTGCAACTTTTCACTGTGTCGTATTGGAGCGTGTGGTCGCTTGGCTGCTGCAGGTCTGGCTTGACGTTGACAACATGAGTGGAGACATCCTAGACTCGATGGCACTGGCTGTGGAGAACGCTACTGCCATCCTCGTGTGCATGACGCAGAAGTACAAGGAGAGTCCCAGCTGCAGGACAGGTGAACATAGAGACTGCCCACGCGCCCCCGTGACACGTAATATAATATAAAGATGTCCCCTCGATGACATATGACGTAGAGACGGCCCCCGTGACATGTAATATAATATAGAGATGTCCCCCGATGAAAGGTAACGTAGAGACGGCCCCGTCACATGTAATATAATATAGAAATGGCCCCTGTTAACAGGCAACGCGTGCGGGTGTGTGTATTTGCACACCCGATCATTAGACGTGTCTTGTACTTGCGAACAGATTGCAATCTGCTATTGTGCACCGAAGTGTCGGCCCACATTCCCAAAACACCGATTTTCCATTAGGGAAACTCGCCGGTCTAGACTGATCCTGCCGTTCCGTTTTAAAGACCTAGCACGCAGGAAAAGCCACGTAAACTCGATTGTCCTTCCTAGAACGGTGCCGGACTACCGACCGACGACCTAGACTGACGCCGCCGTTCCGTTTCAGAGGCCGAGTACGCGCGTAAGCTGCAGAAGCCAATCATCCCGCTGCGGATGGTGGCAGACTACGTGCCGGACGGCTGGCTGGGCCTCATCGTTGGCACCCTGCTCTACTTCAACTTCAGCCACGAGATAGAGATCGAGTCAGAGTTCACGAGGCTTTGCCGGGAGCTGAAGCAGCAGGGCGGCGGTCGAGGAAGAAGAGGGGCGGGAGCTCGACGACCCAGCACCATGGAGCTCGTAAAAAGTGCGTAGCGTCGTCGTCTTCGTCGTCGCTCATAGCGGGTTCGTCGTCATGACGACGGCGGCCGAGTCGCTCCTGTTTGTTACGGGCTGATATATCTGATGTAGTAGATAAAGAGTGTAACGTCGACAGATGCCTACAGTTTAGTTTTATCGTTATTTAAGCATTATAGTAGTAATGTCTGCAGTCTACAGTCAGACACGACCCTCCCTTGGAGAAGTGTGGGGAGGTTTTAAAACCAGCACAAACTTACTATAGTTCATTTAAAAAAAGTGTTTTAAAAACATGTAAACAAAAATAGTTTTACTTTCTAAATCGCCTACTAAATAAATCTAAATAAATCTACCTTTAAAAATAGTTAACAAAAAGAGTTTTCAAATCATTCAAGTAACCGTTTCCGTACCTAATGGAGCATTTTCCTCGTGTATATCTTTGGATCGGTCGTGTCTCCGTATTATGACGATGTTGCGTCTTTCAGGCCACATGGCGCACACTGATGGTTCAGGACAAGTGAGCATCTACGACCACATGTCGGGGAGCACCACATTCAAAGACTGGAGCACTGAGGAGGTTGTCATGTGGCTGCGCGAGTGCGAGTTGCAGGATCTAGTGAAGGGGTTTGCAGGTAATCGATCGATGCGCAAATACGAAAACTGGTTTCTGATTGTTAGTCACTTTCGATTAGGATATAGTCTCACCAGGGACTGTTGCAGCAGTTGCAGAAATAACATAGCATGCAGCTCATGTGTCATCATGCACTCAAACTGTGCCACGGCTGCGTCAGCGCCGACCTAGCCATCGCCTGCCACGCGTTCACTTGTTTTCTCTTTTCCGCGCAGACATCGACGGGGGGCTGCTTCAGGAGTTGCAGCTCATGTGTCGCAGCGCGCCCGAGTCGTACTATACCTGCATCAGCACCGACCTAGGTATAACCAACCTCCCTACACGACTCCGCTTCACCAGAGCCCTGCGCAAACTCTCCGCCTAGCCACGTCGACGCAACGACCCGTTACTCATTGGGAGGTCAAGGTCAGTGCCTAGTCACGTGGCTAACGACCCATTAATGATCGGGTGGTCAAGGTCAGCGAAAGGGCGCTGTCACAGGAGGAGCAGCGGGAGATGAAAGGTGGGAGAGAAGGGGCCGACGATTCCTTCAGGTTGTGTGCGGTGTCGCACCGGACAGCGTGAAAGCGGTAAGATGCATATCGGCAGGGGTAAACACAATGTTTTCATCTTAATCCTAGTATCAATTGATTTATCATTGGTTGATAGATTGATTGATTGATTGATTGATTGATAACTTGGTTCTTGATGACGAGATTAAATTAAGTACCAAGAGGACGTGAATTTAAGGTTGTGGTAAGTTTTTGCATGCTGAACACTTGTGATTACTCGATGGACTCGTATACAATTTCAACAAACTATAGTTAATCTACAATCTCTTTATTGCTGGCTGCTACGCGAGCGGCCGACAAATAGTATCTCACATGCTTCGCGTATCCAATTTGGCTGGGCATGGCCTGGATCACTGGCCTGATGATTCCAGATTTGCCCAACTTGGGGGTATTAAGCTTTATTTAGGGAACCTATAAGGTTTATTAATATCTATGAACAAATTATATATCTATGAGATATAGTAGCATGGATTGCATGACTAAATTAAAGGTTGCAAATACAGTAAGTGTGCACGGGTTAGAGATGTCGTGTTTTGAAGTCACAGATGTGTTTTTTTAAATATTGATATATTTTTTTGGTTAATTTTAATAGGCATAGAGTTCAGTTGTTGCTGTTATTGTTGTTCTGTGAAGAGTATATTTAGCTGTATTGAGGTTGAAATCTTCGACAATATTTGTGCTGAAAGGAACCTTATTCATTGGTAGGTTTAGAAAAAAGTGGGTGTCTGTTCGTAAAAAGTCGAACCCAGTTTGAAGCCCAATACTTGTCTAAAAGACAAGAAAACGGTAGATCTGATCCGGGATCTACATCACTATTAGAAAAGGTTGTCTCTTATGTTTTAACAAGAGCGTATTTCACACGTTTGTGTCAGGGATCTATATGCATGAATAGACAAAGTGATTTGCTATGAATTAAATTAAATTAAATTAAATTACTCATTGTTACAAATTTTAAGTGGCGACAAACACATGGGATTTGCTTGGCTTTAGCTGTTATCATGAACATATAGCTCGACAATGTGTCCAGTGTAATTAATGCGTATAGTGTATGTCAATTTGTATAGATACGTATGTTCTTGCTGTTCCTATGAAAGGCTTTATCGTCGATAACCACTTTCCTGGCATTTTGTGAAGCTCAGCGCTCTGTCTCCCATTCTGTTGGGCATTAAACTATGTAGTAAGGAAGAGAGGTTTACCCACTTGGACATCATATAGTGATTCATCGACTTTACGTGATTTTATGATACGTTGCCGGGGCGTTTCGCGTGTCTATAGCTGCTGGCGGGGAATGAGTGAGCAGTAGCGGAAAGAATGTCAGATGCACGTACCCCAGCTAGGTTTTGACGTAGCGTAGACACAGGGTTAGCACACCACTCTCAGGAAAGGCAGCAGCATCTGCTATCAACACAGCTTTTTGTTTAGAGAAGTGTGACGATTATTATTATTTTTATCACTATTAATATTATTCATTTTTTAAGTTATGTATGCGCACGCGTGAATCAAGCCTTATGTGATCAAGCCTAAGCTGTACCTATGTAGTTCATCCTGAATCAGGTTGCAAAAGGGCTACATAGCTAGAACTGTTTCAACCCCACCCGCCAGCGTCGCTTTTCGGTGAGGTGGGAGTGTGATTATCATTGTTAATATGATTATACGCAGTTCATATAAGGTTTTGTAATCACACATGAATCGACGGGGGTAGAGTCGAATACGAATAACTGTGTTAGGCTGGATTGTGATGTTTGCACACTATACATGTGTTCACTGATTATGCAAGGGTTTTACATTGAATGCTAGGTGACACTGGCTATTTTTTTAGATTGCACTTGATCAAGCATTATTTTGGATTAAAGATTAAAAACGTCCAAGCTCGTATAGATTATATATAATATATATTTGCTGTGATATAATTGGCCAGTGATTCGTTTTACAATGCACCCAATTTGTGCAGTTTTTGCTACGTTTTAAAAGCACTCAACTTTGCTGATTGTGTGGGACCAATTAACCTTTTCTATGTTCGCACTGTGCAATATTTTGACGTTATGCTGATAAATAGGGAACTACTATAACCATATCAACCACATACGTCTCAAGGAATTATCAGTATGTACACTATGTGATATGGATACACCCAGTAAATCACTTGTGTTACATTAGATACCTACTATCCACTTGTCTTGACTTTTGAGGTTTGTACCTTAATTTAGAGCACTTATTGTACATATTTTGAACACTGAGGCATGTTTGTGTGGTGTGTAGCCGACTACATATTATCAAAATGATAGCAAACCCAACCTGATCATTTAAATAATGATTTCATTTTATTAGAACTTCAAAAAAGATTGTAAACAATTTATTACTCTATCGTTCTACTAGCTACCAGTACCTTGCACTGCAATTTTAAAGCCAACTTGCTGCATAATATCAACCTCAAATACTAATAGTTATGTTATATATATTCTCACTACCAAGTTGAGTAGTTATTTGTTGAAAAAATATGCTAAATATCACCCGTATTTTTAATACTCTTCTACAGTAACAGTTCATTGATTTTACGAACCATTACGTTTTTTATTTAATTTAGATACCGATTATAACATACCTAAATGAACTTGAATATAAAGATTACATAAATCATAATTGTCATCTCATAACATTCATAAATCATCACAATCACAAATTCTTATCGTATAACCTCCTGAATAGTAGAGGAGCTGACCATCATATATATTCTTCAAATCAACTATTAGAACTACGACTACTACTACTACTACTACTACTACTACTACTACGACTACTACTACTACTACTACTACTACTACTACTACTACTACTACTACTACTGTTGCTACTGCTACTGCTACTGCTACTGCTACTGCTCATGACGTCATCGTGTCAGGGGTCACGACCTCAGCCGGCCATCGTGACCTTGTACTCGTCCTGGTGCTTCACCATTTGTGTAAACACTTTGTACTTCTTCTCGTGGAACCTGTTAAAATATATGTATACAATTACGGTTTGCAACAATGCTATAAACATTTTTGAGATGTCTAAGCCCCTTGCTTCCCCCACTTAGCAATCCGTTCCTAATCAAACCCGCTTATCAAATCTTCTTTTATCAGAACCCCCCCCCCTTATCAGTCTCTCTCTCTCTCTCTCTCTCTCTCTCTCTCTCTCTCATCAAACATTCTCTTATGAAACCCTTTCCTATAAAATCCTTTCTTATGAAACCCTTTCCTATAAAACCCTTTCTTATCAAAACCTCTCCTATCAGATCACACCCTTCTTTATCAGAGCCTCTCATCACATCCTGCCTCATCACATCCTGCTTTATCACACCCTGCCTTATCACACCCTGCCTCATCACACCCTGCTTTATCACACCCTGCCTTATCAC